GTCCAATGCAATGTTATAGACCAATGTAGATCTGCACCCTCTAGAAATGCTTCTGCGATTGCTTAACTGATACACATGATAACACAAATAAAATGGATTTAAAAGCTATGACAGGTTAAAACTTACTTCCCATGGGCAGTTTCACCAGATAGCATAATGGCATCAGCAGCCTCCCGAACAGCAATGGCTATATCAGAGACTTCAGCCCTTGTTGGAGTTGGATGATCTATCATGCTTTCTAACATATTTGTTGCAACAATTACTGGTTTCTGCATGCTTCGGCATGTTCTGATAATCTCCTCCTGTAAAGGTAAAATAGTTGCAGTTTAAATGCAACTGATGCTTGGTTGCATTTTAGGTATATTAAGAAAAAGTACAAAAGGATGAATTTTTTTATCCTCTAAGATTTATGTAGACATGCTCTGATAAATGCACTGGTTTTTTTAGTCTCGCCTGTAGTAAAGGAACTTCCTCAATTGGAAGTTCAGCACCAAGATCTCCACGAGCCACCATTGCCTATGAACATTTCAAGAAGCTCAGTATTTAGCAGTAATAAATTAGTCCACTAAGGTTGCAAATTATATTTTTTTCGTTATCACAAACATAAGACCTGTATGCAGCATATGCAGGATAAATCTAGACTTAAATAGACCAATAGAATTCATACAATATAAGAATGATGTGTTTGAAGTTTCAATGAACATGATCCACTACTCACTCATGCCAGCTATCTAAGGAAATGTACATGTGGGAAGAAGTTGCTACTTGTTTTACATGAATGAACTGATACATTCAGGGCCTTACCCCATCTGAAGCAGCAATGATGGATTGGAGGTTTGGGATTGAATCAGCACTCTCAATTTTTGGAATAACATGTATATCCGCATTAGCACCTGGGTATTAAAAGAGCAAAGAAAATATTGAGTAAGCTCCCAATATAGATATCCAGGACTTCCATAGATGATAGAGAACATTACTTTTCAGGTAAGCCTTGAGTTCATGAATAACTTTGGCATCCTTCACAAACGAAACAGCATAGAAATCAACACCATTTTCAACGCCAAACTTGATATCTTCCCAATCCTTCTCTGTTGGGGAAGAAGCATGTCATGTCAGGATTTTGTGCACAACTATGAGACAATTGAACATGTTAAGGAAGAAACCAATTAACCTGTTATAGATGGCAGAGTTGCGCTCTTTCCGCGCACATTAAGGTGGCGCCTTGATTTCAACTCCCCACCATCAACTACTACACACTTGACTGTGTCAGCTGTTTTCGACTTCACAGCAAGCGACATCATTCCTCCTGTTGACACAAACAATGCAATGAAGGATTAGTATCTCCAACGTTCTGTATTGTTTACCTGCAAACAAGACAATTTGATTTTAAAGGACAGCCAAATAATCTGATAGAATGAAGAGTAAAACTCCCTCTGATTCCCAATATGACTAGTCTAAGACACGGCCACACTCTACAAAGTAACACATTGACCATAATTTTCTAAAAGAATATGTTGCTCCCTATGCCGATAATTATTTCTATATTGATGCTCAAAACCTAGAAAATGTTTGAGTGGCACAAAATTTAAAACTGCTAATATTATGAAATAGTGGGATTAGACTGCACAACAACATAGGTTTAACCAGGAACAGTTGTAGAGAAAATATGAGGGCATGCACTTGCTTTAAAGAGAATTTAATCATCGGCATGAAATTATTAGCTAAATGGTGACAGGCCAGTCCTCACCATCCACCAACAGTATGTCACCAGCTTCAACATCGCTTATGAAGTCATCATAATTCACACTGACAGTGTCTTCGGTGCTCACCCCTCTTTTAATCGTGAAATTGAACTCTTGACCTTCCGCGAGCATGATTGGCTCAGGAAGATCCCCACTTCGCACTTCCGGACCCTGCATCGCTGAACCTTAATCATCTTGCCGCATTTGACTACTGCATCTAATTTAATGAATTAAATCGTTACATACCTTTGTGTCCAGCATAATAGCAACAGTATTGCCATCAGTGTTCTGTGCGTTGTACTCCTTGACCAAATCAATCACTTTTTGGTGTGACTGGTGGTCACCATGGGACATATTCATACGCGCAACATTCATTCCAGTCTCTGCAAGCTTCCATATCATCTCACGAGTGTTGGTCGAGGGGCCTATGGTGCAGACTATCTTTGTCTTCCTCCGGGGAGTCGCATCCACTACTTGTGAGGTGGCGTCAGTACTGACATCATTATTGCTCTGCATGCAAACAAGATAAATCTGTCACTGAATGAACCACATGTTTCGAACAGCTAACTCTCTCATCGCGTTTAGGATATTGCAAAGCAAAAGTAGCCGGGAAACAAATGGGTTGTTAGCTAAACAATCCAGAAATTGCTCAAGAGCTGCCATAGAGGTTGAATTGCCTCGGAATCAGAAACCAAACATTTGGACTCCAATAATCATCAGCCAGCCATTTTCAAGTTCGGACTGCTTTTGTTGGTTTTTATTTGTTGTGGTAAGATCAGAGCAATATAAAGGAAGCTTGCAGTTCCCCGAATGCAATGTGGTAGAGATGAGCAGATCAAAAGGCCTATACGGGCGAGGCTACCGCGAGCTGGAATAGATCACGCGGGAGTCTCAAGCACTGCGCTCGGGATCAGACCATCGGTCACTAACGAAGTGCGCGGCAAGGACGACGCTATAAGCACAAACAAACAAACAAATCCCAGCAGGACAGGAAACGGCGAACCCAACCGCGGTGCTCGGGATCAAAATCGCCGAACACTGCAAGAGCGAACTCAGCCGCTGGCTCGAGCGGCCCGCATCGTACACCGAGAGCATGGAGCAGCACTAGGGAAGCAGGAAGCGCGCGCGCAGCAGGGACGGGGAGAGACAGCGGACGCTCACCAGAGCGGAGAGGGAGCCGTTGGTCCCGGCGACGGAGAGATCCGCCGCCACCTTCTCGGAGGCGGAGGTCCGCAGCACCCGCGCGGCGACCGCCCGCCTGGGCTGCGGGGGCGCCGGCACCGTCGCTGCCGGCCTGGCCACGCGCGCCGTCGCGGCGAACCCGCGCACCATCTCCGCCGCCGCCGCCATTGTTTGGAGGACGCCCCGCGGTTCGCGCTAGAGACGGGAATAGGGAGGAGCTGCTGGTCGCGGAGGAGGGAGGGAGAGGCCGCGGGCGACGCGAGGGTTAATGTTGGTTGGGAGGAGCTGCGAGGGGAGCACCGCCCATTCCCTCCGTGGGCCGGGCCTTTATACGCCGACTGGTGGTGGTGGGGGGCCGGAGGCCCCGGAGCCAGGTGCGCGCAGCGGCGCGGTCCATACGATGCGCCTCCGCTCCTCGTCGCCTCGGTTCCAACGCCCAAGAGAACCGGAGACTCGCGTGCGTGCCTGGCTGCCTGCCTGGCACGAGGGCAGCGAAATGGTGGACTGGTTGTTTCCAAGCGTCTATTTTGTACACGTACACGCTACATTGCACACAAGTCAAGTCAAGTGCACCCCACACGTGGTTATTTTTTCCTCGCTGATTTTATTGCTCGTCAGGAAACAGGGTTACAGTCAGCGGTGCCGCCACCGGCCCGACCAAAACAAAGCTAGCTCATGGGGCGAGGATAAATTCCTGTATCTCACAAGCTGGATGAGCTGAACGTTGGATCTGAACCATTAATGCATGAAGCTGTGGCTCATGAGCCCAACACTCAACTATGTGATCTTCCGATTACAGTTGAGTTGCAAGCGCAATAATACCGTCAACGCACGGCTATCACACACGAGTGTGCCGACTGGCCGGTGCACTCAGAACGGCCGCGTGCACGGAGAGGAATATGCCACGCGAGACGGATCCTGTTTGGGGGGATGGGCAGTTGGGGACTTCGCGGGCCGCGCGGAGACGGCAATGTGTCGGACAATGCAGACAAGAACAAACTGGCTGGAACGAATTTTCTCCAAAAGAAAACAAGGACAAGTTGGCTGGAGCTCGTCGCGCCTGCCCTGCGTGCGGAGCTAGGCTATGCGAGTAAACGTTCCCGTCGAGGCGATGTGGACGGAGAAAACGATGACAAAGATCCATCTCCCTTTCGTGCCTCCATCACTGCCGTGTGTGGCGCAGCTAGCGAGCTATATCTCGCTACTTTTGTTCAAACAAAAATGGGAAGCAGGATATATCTCAACCTCTCGAGTCCAGGCGTATGGCTCCCCGAGTTTCGGCGTGAGATCTGAACTGCCTGCCCAAGTCGGCAGGGTGCCTCTCACGCCTAGAGAACACGCACGGCAATTTTTCTCCTCCCAGTAATTTGCAAGCGCAATATCATTCTGCGCCACCACAATTTACTGTATCGTGTTAACCTTCCATAGCTATGGGAGATACTACAGGACAAGTATAAACATCAGTGCACACGCCGTTTGTTCGTCGGTTCATCGATTTGGCCTTATGGCAGATGAATCCCAGGGCCGACAAGACCAATAAATAAACCCTGCCTAGTACGGAAAACACCGTTCGGCTCGTGCTGATTATTCTGATGTACACAAGGTAGACTGCTTTTGTTTTTGTTTTCGCGGTCACAAGAGAACACACTTCACAACCAGGGTGATGCTTCCTAAGGGACAACAGAAAAAGGAGCGGGGAACAACACTTGCCACCGATCGTTACAGGTTTCGACCCCGAGGTACAAGAGAGGTCTCATGTCAGCTCCATGGACTTCAAGGAGAACGCAAACCGGTCTGCTGACGTGATTAAGAGTCGACTCCGAACGGAAGGACTGCGGCCGCCACTGCCCTCCCCTCTTCGTTCAGAATATTATAGGTCGAAGCCGCATTCCTCTGCCAAACAACTATGGGCCATTATGCACTTGCAGAGCCAACAGTTTGCACCACAGTATCAAAGTTTGTGTTTCGAATTGAGATTTTCGACATAGACGGTATGTTGTACATGGAGGGGGGGAATGCGTTACCGAATCGATGGCCTCCAGTTTCATCCCAGTTGACCGAATGAACTTGCGCAGCTCAGGACTGACTGGCTGGACGTATTTCCCGCAACCAAGAATCAGAATCTCTGGAGAAACACAGTATATTGGATGTTAATAACCAAGTAACGCTAATTTGGTTCAGAAATACGAACAACATAACTGCCCACCCCTGGGCCCTGAGGAAATATTGTTAATTTTTAACAATGAACTTGGATAAACTACTAGAGCAACATATTGAACCACAACGCGGAAGTAAAAAAACAAACCACAATATCTTGAACGCGTAAACAATGTTCATTTTTACTAAACATGAAATGGCCACCCTTGGGAACCATGCTCATCTGACACGATAAAATTATGATAAGAAAATGCCATGTAGAACTGTAGGGTACTGGCCAAGATACCTGGGATTGGGTGCACAATTTTGAAGATTGATAAACTGCATTATTGAAGGAATATAAGTTGTCAGTAAATAACAAACAAACAGGAATAGATTCAACAGCGCTACTGCAAACAAATGGTATCACATGGCCTAATAGAGTCATTGCTCAAGACATATATACGGCAGATAGTATATTACTGTGCAAGCCTTTACCTTTCAGCAGTTATATCCGCAAATGTTTTGGGTGTCCAGGTCAGTATCTTGTTTTCTACTATCAGCAAGCTCCCTTCATACTTTACATTGTTAATCTTGAATCCAGTGTCATCGTAACTGCAGAGTATTTCAGTCATCTGATCAAATACACAAGTTCCACGGAACTAAATGAGATAGTAGAATGACATTTTCTTCAGAACTACTCACAACTGAAAGCATAACAAGAGAAATCTAAGCCCCAAGTCATGGCAAATTCAAGTGTGTCCCAAATCACTATTTTTGACAATTTTGGTTACTCTTGCCAATTGTATATAAGCGAGACTGAGATGATGATTCTCAGGGAAGGAACCAAAGTTAGCAAACTAAAGGGGAATGTTAAAAAAATCCACTATATGTTGTCCTATCCACCCCTCATGACAGTAGAGCAAAGTGATTGTCATAAGAGAAAGTGAGAAACCGATGCACCTCTCCCAGCTTTATATTGAATCTAAGAACAAGATCAGTACAAGGCTAAGTCATACTATGCAGTTTAACAAGGAAAACAGGTACAATAAAACAACCGTGTGACAGCCTTACGCATCAGAAGATTAAAATAATGGTTCCCAAAACAAGACATGTAAATAACTCTGAGGTTTTGAATGCCCAAACCACTAGATGTTTTTCATGCATAGCGGCTTCCAGCTACCACGGCAATTCTGTTTGTTTTCCTTATCATTCAACCTGCCCCCAACACCGCCAGGATAAGAACTAAGAAACCACTTTTACGCCTAGCTAATTTCCTTTTGGCTTTCTAAATAATAGGCTAGTGGTCTTCCTAAAACCAATATAATCTGAGAGGCAAAAATGACAGTTCGCAGCCTAAAAAAAGTCGCTCAAACATGTTGTGTTCCCCTTCATTCAGCAAAAAAGGGGATTGATTCACTTTTGTTGAAGTTACTTGTCAATCCTCAGAAATTATTCATAGCAGTACATGAGTACAGCATCATTTTCAGATTCCTAGCAACTAAAGGGAAAAAAAGGGAAAAATGGCAGCTGCATCCCTTTACTTGCAAGCAATAATATGAGTTAACCATCCTATATCAAGATGACCACTTCTAATCAAAACCTCTTCAATCTCACTCCATCTGCTAGAAAATGTCATTGAAATTCGTGATATGAATTATCAACGTATGTATCTAAAGCATTCGTCTGGTTTAATCCTACAAACAACTAGGATTAGTAGGTAGAACAAGAGTATCTACAGGCTACAGCACTCTCCTGTGGGCAGTATCTGGTTTTAAGAGAAGAACATCAGTTTGTAACCAAACTTCCGGGCACTAATCAACCACAGGACCCTTCAGATAATTTTGTAAGTAATTAAACTTCCAGATACTGACCGATTTGAGTGATATGTTGTAACCTGTTATTTTGGGAAGAGAGTACATTGATTAATCCACCACTACCAGGATGATTCTTCGAGCATACATCAAACATTGAGCTTAAAACACAACCATGGTCAATCTCATTCCACAATTTTACATATTTACGGATATATTTTGAAGAAGGCAATCTTGCTATCGCACAGCAAAAGCTGAAAACAATTGAAATGGAACTGGGAGGATGTAAAGAGAGGTTACGTTTGGAAGCGGAGCTGGTCTTCGGGGACGTTGTCGATGAGGTTGATCTGGTCGTAGAGCGAGAAGGTCCTCCTGATCAAGCCAAATCCACGTCCCAGTCAAATCAAATCAGCACGCATCATCCACCAGCATCCCCTACGAAGGAGAGAAGGGGGGAAGCCGATGCGTACCTGAGAGACGGGAGGTGCCTGAGCCTGGGAGCATTGGAGTTGGAGATGGAATCGCTCCGCAGCGACCTCACCAGCGTCGCCAGCGCCTTTTGTCCCCGCGCCGCCGCCATGTCCTCCTCCTCTTCCTCGCCGCCGGTCGGTGGGGGCGCGTCGTGTTCAAGGGGAGTCGGGAGTTTTGCACCCACCACCTCTGAAAATGTTTCGAGTTACGAATGGCTCCTTACATGGACAGCCCACGTGGCCCATGTTGCAGTTGGCTGGGCTGGGCCTCGAATTATTCCGAGGCTGCGGTGTGCGGCGGCGACGACGACGACCAGGAGATGGCTGCGGTGGCGGGCGGCGGCGGAGGAGCGAAGGCGACGGTGGCGGAGCAGATAGGGCAGGCGGTGCAGTCCACCTCCAACCTTCTCCAGCTCATGGAGCAGTCCTCCCCTGCCCAGGTCCACCTCCCCCTCTCTTCCTCTCGTCCTTGTCTGTTTCAACTGGCTGCGAGCTCAATTTGTCAAATCTGGGGAATTTTGGCAGGAAGTAGGTGCTGATTCATGCAGAATGTTTATTCAGGTGCCCCCAAGGGTGTGAATCTTGTGATAGATGTGGTAGTTCCTCCTTGCAATTAGGTTTTGAATAGATTTTCACGCCATTATTATTGCTTGCTAGTTAATCTGTTGCATCTTATAAATTTATAATCTACTGTATAATATATTGGGTCAATACCGCATTGAACATTTTATGGACATTTATGATTTATATCAAGTATTGAGAGCTTTGATTGGCATTGAGAAAGTTGCAAAAGTACTGCTCTGGAGTGTTCAGATGCAGCATGGTATTACAGTTCTAGATTATTTGTGTGCTTTCATTCTTGTCCAGACCTCGTGGAGCTTAACCAGTCAGAATGCTAGTGGAAGTCACCCTGATTGCGACAATGTTCTGTCCCCAAAAATATCGAAGTTACAAGCCTACAATTACAAAATATGCTAGTTCACTGAATTCAGGAGTTTCAATATAATTTTGACTATGGGGTCTGTGTCCAGAATAAATATTTTGTGCCATTGTGCTAACACAGGGTCCTTTTTGTCACAGGTCCACTTGGCTAAACTCCCTAAGAATCTCTTGGCGAAAGCATCTCTTACAAAGAACACAGAGCAAGTAAAATGTCATTTTGCATGGATGTGAAATTATATCCCTGAATGTAGCTATTGACATGTGTATCCTGTCATATTCTAGGTGCTACAACAACTACCTAATGTAATTTCTTCCTTGGATGCTTTTATGGATAGTAGTTTGCAAAGGTGACTTTCCCAACTTCATGTCATTTACACAGTCATCTTGCTAATAATATTCTAAAGCAGTTGTAGCTTTTCCAAAGAGCTTCTTTAACCATAATTTATTCTCTACATATTTCTACCACATGGTTGAAGGTACTTTTCCTCTTTGTCACCTGTGGTAACATCATTTTTTAAACTATGCAGCGCATCTCAAATTAAGACTGTCACACAACTCTTGTCAAACATGGAGAGCACCCAGCTCAAATCTATTTTGCCTGCCTCTCGATTACAGAAAGATCAAAAGAATACTGAGCCTGGAGAACTCAGGGTTGACTGATGTGTTCACTGTGGCTTATGCAAAAAGGTAGTTTAGTTTTTCTTCTTTGGGCCACCTCTTATTCCTGTTTGTTCGGTGCATAAATGCATTGATTTTTGTTAACAAATTATCTCCAATTGAACTAATCTTTGCTAGCGTTTATTTAAAAATTCAGCGTGATTGGAAGCAAACTAAAAACTAGCTTTGGGTTGTTCATGAAAGTTGCTTGGTCAATCATCACTTCGTCACTACATTTGACATGTTTCAGTGATGACTAAAACTCAGAATTTCTACCCCCTCCGATCCATATTAATTGTCGCTGATTTAGTCAATTTGATTAAATCAGCGACAATTAATATGGATCGGAGGAAGTAGTTCATTCAGTTGGCCTACCATGATCACTTACCGAAAAAGGGTTTCCCCCCGCTTTATAAATAAAGCAACTTCCACCAATCACACGGTAACTGCTGGGGCGCACAGCACATCAAGCCCAAAAGAGAAAGAAGAAGAACAAAATGCCAACAACGGCAACTCGGCAAAGCTAAGATGATCCGCCTCCGCTGCGCCCTCCGGATTCGTCCCACCACACACCAAGGCTCCGAATCGCCGCGTAACCAAGCAGCACCTCCAAAAAGGGGTGCGACGTCGACGACGCTGCTGCCCGGACATGTCCTACGGTTTCCCCCGGCACGCGGAGAGGAGTGGAGGATGGGTAACACCTACGCCCCTCAGGAAGGAAAGGCGACGCCCGCAGGCGACACCGCGTCGGCGCCGAAAGAACCGGCAGGGATTTCTCCCGCATCCCAACCACCACTATCCGTCCGATCCGGAGCCAACCAGCCAGCCAACCACCAACCAGCATACGCCACCACGGTCTTGAAGTCATCCATGCCGCCTCATTGAGACCGCCATCACGAGGCCTAGAGGATGGAGAGAGGAGCGCCAGAAATCGGGAGGGGGAGCACCGGAGCCGCGCCGGAGGGAACCACCTCCACCACCATTGTGCGGGAGGCCTGTGCCTCCAGCACCGTCGCGGGTGCCGACCGGACGTGGCCGCAGTGGCACACCAGGCCACCCCAGGCCCGGCCAGGCCCATCTCGGGCCCGCAAAGCCGCTGCCGCCCCGCTGCAGCAAGCCGGCGACAGTGCCGCCCCCACCCAGCCTTCCTACGCCCGAATTGCACCTCCAGGGGGCTCCGCCGTCGATGAGAAGCCGCCGGCCCGCCGCGGCCCAGATGGGCCCGAAGGGGCCCAGATCTGGGCCGAGCAGGCGCCGCCACCCCCCACCACCGCGAGCTCCGCCGCCAACGGCAGCGCCGCCGCGCAGCCAGCCTCCCACGCCTGCGCCAGGTTGCCCCGCCGCCGCGCCGGACCGCCGCCGCCTGAGCACACCACCAGGAAACGCGCCGCCCCGCGCAGGTCGCCTCCGGGAGGGAAAAAGCAGGGGCCGCCGCCACCGGCGCCGCCCGGGGCAAGCCCGGCACCGCACGCCGGCGGCGGCGGGGGGGAAGGTGGCGGGGGAAGGCCTCTGGAGAAGGGGGACGGAAGCGCGGCCGGCCGCCCGCGGGGAGGCGGCGCGGTCGCGAGAGAGGAAAAAAGAATATAAGATCAAGAGCTTTCTGGAACTTGCTTTCCACCATGATCACTTTAAATTGCATATTGTTATATTGGATGTGAACCATCTATTTCTTTACTGTGCTAGGCAGTAGGCACAACGTCATGCCTGAAATTGTGTCTGAGAATCATTTGGGGTTAATGCTAACTGCAAAATGTGGAACTAGTAAAGATCTCAGGATTTACTTGTTTGCTCCCCATGTTTGCCCTACCAAAAAAGTGGTTAGCCAATATTTTGGTTGAGGTTTTGCATGCCCGTGAGTTGCCCAAAATTGGCTAGAAAAATGAACTAGAGTTGCGAAAGAGCATTGGCATGCCAAAAAGTTGGCAGTCATCCAAACAAGGACCAATGTTTTGGCCATGACCGAAAATTCGGTAGGGTAGACATTGGTGGCAATTCGAACATACCCTTAAATCTGCACAAAAAATGAACTCATTTTTCTTTTGCAAACTTTTTCTTGTTGGACCTTTGTATCTCTGTTTCTTTCAAACGGAGGGATTGCTTCATCTAAACAAACTGGTTCATTTTTTTGTATTCCATAGCAGATCTTGGCATCTCACCAAAGCCTAGGCTCAGCTGACTTCTGCTGGAGAACAAGGTAGTAACTGAAGAATTGTAGTTGGCAAGACTCAGGTGGCGGGTGGCGCTGGAATGTGCAAAGGGCCCTGCTGTAGAACTGTGAAACCATTATCTATGTGCACTGTGATTTGGAGGCTCGAGGCAACGGACCTGCTGTCACTATCATAATGCTTACTGCAAATTCTGTTGATTGGCTTCAGTGCTAATTAAGAAACATTAGTGTTGCCCCCTTTTCATTTAAATGTAAAGGAGGATACGATGACATCTGATATTGCCAATGCAGGTACGTGTGTAACGCCAATCTCCAATGCCTAATGCAATTTAGTTCTTCAGTTAGGCCTCCTTCGGTTCATAGGATAGGAATATCATAGGAATAGGAAAACCATAGGAAATGAGATGGCATGTATCTCAATTTATATAGACAAATAGATGTCACTTGATTCATAGGATAGGAAATTTTCCATTGGTTTAGCCTCATTTTTTTTTCATTTTTTTGAGAATATTTTTTTTCTTTGAAATGTGAAGCATTGGTTCCTATCCTACATAAGAATAGGAATCCATTCACAAAAATCAAAGGGATCCAAAGAAAAATTTCCTACACAATTCCTATCATTTAGAATTCCTCAAAATTTCTCTAAACCAAAGGAGGCCTCAACAGTGGACAGTTTAGGTAATTTGACAAAATTTGATGGGGAAAACCAGTTTGTGCAAATAAAGTTAAGTTAGGTTGATGACTAAATTCAGCCATTTTTATTTTTTTAATCATGAACATGCTCTTGCGTGCTTACCATTTTATAGTCCTTGAATGACATCGACGATGTATGTCAGACAGGTGCGTGACTTGCCTATGAGATCTTACATTGTATGATGCGCTCTAAAAGGTATAATATATATATATATATATATATATATATATATATATATATATATATATATATATATATATATATATATATATATATATATATGCACTATTGTCGGTTATGATCCAGCCCAAGTTCAGAGACAAACCAAACGAAATTCATCATTTCTATTCAAAGGAATAAACCATGCCAGACACATTCAACTAGACCGGTAGATGGTCAGATCTCACTGGCCATGTAGTATTGGATGCTAGTCGAATAGTATGCACTTGACGGGATCTGAGGTCGACGTTGGGAGACCGGAATCGGGCACATATAGTATGTCACGTTGAACATACCCAACCATGAGACGGAGCGACAGGTCATTAGTTAATCTTTAATACAATGTTTTGTGTCTTAGACCTGAGATCGCCGCATGGACTTGGGATGGTGACGGCTGCTTAGGACCGATCAAAGGCTACTTTGTAACATGGTAGTTATAAAGGTTGGTTTTCGACTTGTCTAGATCCATGCCGTGAGACATGGTCAAGCAAGAAGGGATTCATCACACGCTTAAGGGAAGAGACCGACGAGGTCAGATGTGATCCAACCTGTACTTGGATCTGGACCAAATGGAATTTGGCTTATAGAGTCTTAGTGGGTCTCAAGTGTTGAACCCACGACAAACTACCGACTTTGGGTTTAGGTGACACGTGATCTTAGAAAGTTGCATCGACTAGGGTTTGCACGTGTTGCATCTAGCCACATTCACTTAGCTCGGTTGTGCGATCGGACCTAGAAGTCTGCTTCAACGGCCTTTTAGAGGTGGTACATTTGTGTTGCTTCAGTGAACTTGTCTGAGGGATCAAACTCCTGAGTTAATTGAGGGAGACCGGTGACGAGGAGGAGAGGACTCCTAAGTCATGCTACTCTGAATATTCTTACGCTGCGAGGACTGCACGTCTAGTGGCAATCCCGTGATCTATCTCCTAAGCATGCTCATCGGTTAATCTATGTGGTAGGAAACTTGTAATACACTCCGTGTAGCCTAATATCTACTACACAACTTGTTCTTGTAGATTCGTGTTGGGCCTTCAAGCACAGATGTTTGTAGGGCAGTAGCAAATTTCTCTCAAGTGGATGACCTAAGATTTGCCAATATGTGGGAGGCGTAGGATAAACATGGTCTCTCTTAAACAACCTTGCAACCAAATAATAAAGTATCTCTTGTGTCCCCAACACACCAAATACAATAGTAATTGTATAGGTGCACTAGTTCGGCGAAGAGATGGTGATACAAGTGTAATAAAATGATAGTAGATATTGATTTTTGTAATAGTAACAATAAAAAACAGTAAGGTAGCAAGTAACAAAAGTGAGCACAAACGGTATTGCAATGCTTGAAAACAAGACCTAGGGTTCAAACTTTCACTAGTGCAATCTCTCAACAATGCTATAATTGAATCACATAACCATCCCTCAAGTGCAACCAAGAACCACTCAAAAGTTCTTATCTAACGGAGAATATAAGAAGAAATTGTTTGTAGGGTACGAAACCACTTCAAAGTTATTCTTTTTGAACGATCTATCCAAGAGTTTATACTAAAATAACACCAAGTTATCTTTTCCGATCGATCTATCCAAGAGTTCGTACCAAAATAACACCATATGATACTCATCAACCAACTCTAATGTCACCTATACTCCAATGTCACCACAAGTATCTACGAGTTAATTATACAATACGCATCAAACAATTTCAGATTTATAATACTCAATCCAACACAAAGAACCTCAAAGAGTTCCCCAAGATTTCTATCAGAGGAAGTAGGACGAAAACGTGCATCAACCCCTATGTTTAGATTACCCCAATGTCACCTCGGAAATCCGTGAGTTGAGTGCCAAAATATATATCAAGTGAATCGGTATGATACCCCATTGTCACCACGGGTATTCATAGCATGACATAGATCAAGTGATCTCAAA